TATTTCTTACTGTTTTAATTACTTATTATTCGCTTTGTATCCTATACTATTTCTTATATACCAAAATAATATTGCTGTTAGATTTATTTATTAATATTTTTATGATCATTGAAATAGTTTCTTCGTGACATATTAACATAGATACGTGAGCTGATATTGTTGTTTTGCGAGTACAATGCTTTTAGTTTTATTACCGAAGGCCACTGATAAGCAATGGGATTCAGGAAGATATCTTTAGATTATTTTTGATTAGATATTTTGTCACATCGCTATATAAGTTGTATTATTTAAAAGAAAAAAAATATTTACAAAAATCAAAACCCGACTGAGTAAAAAGTGAACTAAAAAGAAGAGAATAGGTTGACAAAAGAACAACATACTCGTAGTATTATGCAGTCGGAGACATACAAACACGCAGCTATTTTAAAATATGCACATACGTATGTCAATTCCTTATCCTAAATTACCTACTTTAAAAGATATAAGTTGTACATTTTTGTGATCGCCTCTTACTCGCCCTATATTTTAATATCCCACTCGATTTATTTGAAATAAAAAAAAAAATTAAGACGCACAAACGCCTTGACCCGCCATTTTAATTTCACACACACACATACACACACTCACACGCACACATACATATATACGTACATATACAGGTCAAACACATAACTCTCCTTTGGGCTTCGCTGTATAATAACAGAACTGAAAAGTCTCTACCAATGCACCGACGCAGTGTTCCTTGAACCTTAGACAGGAAAAAGTTATACGACGATGTCAGTAAACGTTAAGGTTGCACTTTATTGGTTAAAAGACTGTTATGACTACTATTTGAATAAATTGATAATATCCACATTTTTATCAAAACTCTACGGAAAAACTAGGCAGAATCTTCATTTTAGATGTGTAAATATAAAATAATATTCCTAAATTATGCTTCAACTAAATTACATTAACTTAGAGAATTAAAGTAAAAACCGTTTATCAGTCGCGGAAATTGACTTATACAATTGACATAACTTAGGTGTATATGTAGGTACGTATAATAATTTTTCTCCATAGGTTTTAATCTATATAATTAACAAAAGTGCTGTTAAAAGATAACATTGATAGTATCCAACTTCTACGCGACTTCTACGTAACATTTTTGAAGTAATTGATAGTTGATAAACTCTAGACCACCCGTTATTTTAAATGTCTAGAAATAATGCTGATTAAGCCGCTTGTGTGAAGTGAATTTTAATAAAAAGGCAAATGAGATATTTACCTCAAAATTAATTATTAAATACTTATTTGATTATCAAATATAATTTTTCATGCTAAAGCCATTTTATGACAGTATTTATTGTTTTATTTAAATTATTTTTTATAGAACTGTCAAAATTGTACAATTAATAATTATTATTTTAAAGAAAAAACCTTATTTTTTTTGGCTTAGAGGACTACAAATTTTTTATCTGTTTATCTATTTATTGTTTTCTTTTATTACTTTACATTGTTTTTTGAATTAAGAACCACTCACTGTGTAATGTGGGCTCCATCTAAAAGATATTTCTGAAATATTCAATTATATGATACTCCAAAGAAACCGCAACAATTATTTAATTTTTAAGACATAAACTCTACATAGATACATAAGTACATATTACATAAGATAGGACGAAGTTTTGAAGATAAATAAAAATAATCTTTTAAACTGTATAATATTGTATTATCTTTATAGGTACTTCTAATCATATCTCACCTACTACGTATCTAGTTATCGGGAAAATCATGTACCTAATGCAAAATATATATTTTGTTCTGATATCTAAATAATAAACCTTACAATAGCATTCCCAATGAGGGTTGACGTCAGGCGGGCGGCCGGTCGTAAAACTTTTGCCAAATCCTATCAGCAGTACGGAAGATGTACTGCGCCGACCCCGAGTGATTGGGAAATGGGCAGGGAGATGATGATGATCTAAATAATAGGTACCTACTCTCTAAGAATATTTGATTTAATGAGTTCAGTGTAAATATCATAAAAAGTCATTTTTATGAGTATTTATATAATATCAATATATCCTTCTAACACAATTAATTGTTGTAGCAAATTTCCTTTGAGTAATTGGTACTTTATCTAAAAGTACTTAAACTTTACATTCCAATATTTTTCATATCCTCGAATAATAAACGGTGTTTTCACACTCAAGCGTATGTCGTGCTACACATAACAAGGTAACTTGATTCAAGTTTATGTTCGTAATATGAATACGCGGAAAACTAACAGTGTTCCGATGTGTACTTTGGTTTACTAAAGTCTTATATAGGTGCTCTATTATATATTGATAATGTAAAATAATGTGAAATAATCCTAAAAGCTACGTACCTTAATTAAGCTTTTATTTATAACCTACAGTAATTAAACCATCTGGCCACAATAACAGAAGTCAGAATATTTACCTGATACTATCATAAACGTTATCATCGATAGATATGGTACAATATATATGTATTATGTTGCTAAATACCTTATTCGTGCGTCAAAAGTGTTTTAAAATGTGGATTATAAATAAAAAATAATATGTTTAATGAAACTAGTAATCAAAATCCACATATTACCTTCAACTAAATACATATATATGCATTCGTATTCCTATAGTATTCAGCCCTTTCTTAAAGTCGCACTGCTGGGCATGGGCTCATTTACTACAAGGTGGATAAGGCCATAGTCCACCACGCGGTCCAAGTGCGGGTAACAATAATTACCAAATAAGCTTGAACTTTTTTCACGTTGGGAAACACATTGCCTATCTTCTACAGGTCCTGTGGATGAACCACGTGGTGATTCCTAGACTAGAAGCCAGCACTACTTTCAAAGACTTAATGGAACCTTTCCCTTCTTAATAGAGCACCGTAGGATCACATATTCATCAACGACAGGTCCCACAGGCAGCCCTCTTCTCATGAAATTCCCATTCCCATTGCTGATGTATTCCCGATGCTGTCACGACTTTGGAAATTTATAGAAATTTTTGATGATCTTATCTTGCTTTCCATCGAAAAATAACAGAGGATTATATATGCTATTATGGTCTACTCTGATATCATAGCAACTTGGATAGTACAACTCCGACCTCCCACCGAGTAGTGCCGCCTCCTCTTCGCTTTACGCCCGGCTGGACAGCCGGACACTACGCCCCCACGATAAGGTCAATATGAAAAAAAGTGTGACCCTGTATGTTAGTATCTGGTCGGTAGGAATATTTCACGTCGAATGTAATTTTTTCGGCTCAACAAAGACTTTTATTTTAGAGATGTACGAGTAGGTCTCTATATGCTCTACAACTCTTACTAGTATTGCTCAGATACAAATCCTATATATGGAGTTAAAACACTGATTGATGTTCTTTAAAGATAATAATCGAGTATTTCATGTAAAATCTAATATGCAATAGGTTTTTTGTATAAAATGGCAAATCCCGAAAAGTTTTTCACCAATTTCTTTGAAATATTGATACATATGTATAAGGTTTTTCGTGTGAATAAAGTTTTGATACTATCCATTATAATATATTTTGCCACTAGAAGATGCACTGATCGTCAAGAAAAATAGTACAGATGGTTACAAGAGTATAATTCTCCATATTTTATTCAACTTATTATAATTCTCTGTAGATTAAAGATAGAACAAGACTTGAGTCCCTTTTTAGTAACTGGCAGCGGCTCAGTCTTTTCTGTCTTGTTCTATAATATAGTACTTCAGAAATACAGGAGCTGCAACAAATCGTGTCCATGTCAAAATTAACATATGCTTGTGGTTTCTCTCGTATATTAAATGTTAAGAGTCGGAAACAAATAACGCGACCTTGATATACGTCGTTACTAGATATTACAGCTATACAAAAACAATGTACCTGTACTTTGTAGTGATTATATGACTCTAATAAGTTATAAGTTTGTCTATTTCATGAAGTCTGTAATAATTAGTTTTTAGAAAAAAATGTTTATGAAAATAATACGCTAACGGCTAAAGTATTGATGTTTGGAAGAGACGATTGAGCGTGGGTCGTAATTAAGTAGATTTCTTCGAAAAATATTTTATAAAATTAATATATCAGAATTTATAGGAGTATTTTATTATACATTCTTTTCTCCCGTGGCATTTATTGCGTGGCAGGTACTTCGAAAATAAGTAGCCTATGTATTAATCCATTATAATATATCTTAAAGCAGTGGTAGCCCAGTGGTAACGCGTTCGCTTGGGAAACCGAGTCCTCGCTCCCCTGATATTTTCATGTGCCAATTATTTCTAACATGATTACCACTTGCCTTAAGGTAAAGGAAAACATCATGAGGAAACCTGCATATCTGAGAGAACCTAGCAAGTTTTAGAAAGACATGTGAAGTCCGCCAACCCGCACTTGGTCAGCATGGTGGACTATGGCCTGATCCCCCTCGTATTAAAGGGAGTCCCGTGCCTAGCAGTGGTACGTTAAAAAATGGCTGAATACAGAATATATTTTAGTTATCTCCATTTTGAATCACACTCCAATCCAGCAATTAAGTACAGCGTTTAATATCTGAATTATATTTTCTATTCTTGCTATTTTACTAAGGCTTTGTAAAGTTAATTATATGGTGACGGGAGACAAATAATTCGATGCACCGGCATATAAAGAAATTCTAGTGTCTGTAGGTAAATTAGTAAGATATGAAAAAAGATGATTCATTAAATGATCTGTTCAATTAATGATGATGATGAATTATGAGGGATCGTGTTTAGCTCACGTTACTTGAAAATACTGGCAGGTCATACGCAATATCAGAGGTGTGGGACCCAGGATTTGAACCAACATTACTCAGTTTCCCAAGCGAGCGCGTCACTACTCAGCTCCCTTTGCCATAATTATTAATTTTGTATCTACATAATATATAATATGTTTTTGACGAATGAATCTGAATGACCTTTTATTTTAATAAGCAATCGATATATCATTTAAGGACTTGTTAAATATATGTATAATCTCCATCAGGTGAGTGTTGGGGGTGCGGGTCAGATTGATTTCGAACAGGCGCCGTGCATCTGCACTCAGTATCAGCGGCCGTGGACCGTGGTCCGGCCGCGGGCGGATCTGCGTAGACGCCTCGGCCGCCGCGCGAGCCACAGTCGCCTGCCCGCCGGCACGTTGTATGCACGTGTAGTGCTAGTGCGACACTATCACAAATATGAGCACCGGTAAGAGGAAGCTCTCCTTCCTAGGCTTCGCTGCTCAGGTCAGTAACTTGTCATTTTATAATATTTTTATTGTTTTTCTTTCATTTTGTCGAAGTATTTTTAGTATTATATAGTTATAATTATTTAATTCACAATATTACAAACAATATGAGATTTCCAGTGATTGTGCTTAAATTTCATAAATTACATATCATATAAATTACATATACTTACTTATCTATTAATTGTATTTTTATTGCTATGGAAAATTATTTGTTTGAAATACTCTAAAATAATATAATATTTATTGATAAAGCATTTAATAACATTACTCAAAATATATGTTATTGCAGTGTTGTGCTAAATACACCTAAAGTTATGGATTTATTTCAGCCCCAGATCATTAAAATGACGAGGTAGAGCCAAAGTTTACTTGATTTTACTTGACAGGAATTCTAACTTTTATCCTTAAACCCACTCGAATATGCGTAACATTGTACTTCTCACAAAAATATTCAGCATTGTTGGTTGTTCTGACTTTCGTTTAGATTTTTTATATATGATGTTCCTAGAATATTCGTAAACTTTGTACAGATCATCAGTAAGCGAATTTGCACATATATGATAATATAACTCTGACTGAAATTCGCAAGCGGGTGTATAGAACATGTAAGCTAAATTCCAAATGTGAACCAACCAAAATTTCTACTTATTTCACAATAGAGATGTAAAGTACTTTATAAGCAATTTTAATAAACAATTTTTAAGTAATTAATAATTATTATATATAGTACCAAATCTCAAAAATAAATGTCTGATAAGGCTTAACTATATTATGTCGATAGAACTCCATGTTTAATGTAAATACAAGTTAGTGGCGTAAAGATGAGACATTAACGCATTTTTGTCTATTAATATCTCGTGTTACAATAATAAATATTATCAACGTGTTTTAATAATCTTAAAATTCAAATCATTTAATTTTATTTATGTACAAGTAGATTGAAACCAGCGATTACTTTTGCTTTTGTTTAAGTAAAAGTGCTAATATAATATTCAATATTTAGTGAACTTTTGTGTTCACCAAATATTGAATATTATATTAGCAATTGTGCAAGCATCAGGCCCGTTACGATGTATTTATTCTCATTTTAAATAAATCTGCCCTTGATCCTAAACAGTTTCTAGTTGATAGTTATCGATAGTCCAATTAATGCACCGTCGACTTTTTTTATTGAAAAATAAAATATATATAAATAGATATATTCGGTATATGATTATAAACAACTATATATTATGTAACACTTACTTACGAATAAAATTATATTAAAATTATTTCTAGTTTTAGCTAAATAGTTTTAATCTTTTAATATTTATATGAGGGTGCAATTAGATACTAAAATGATTTGAATCTTCTATCTTGTAAATCTTAATTCCTAGGAATATATAGCAACGTGCTAAGCAACAGGTTGTGATGAAAACCCATTACTGAGAATCTGCTGAAAGTGTAACTTCGAAAAGCACTACTGCGATATGGCTAAGCGAAATACCTGGTACCGACTTAAAGTAAACATGTCTATGTGCATGACTTAGCTTAGTCGTACTTTAAGCAAAAGTACCTGCTTACATCTTAAATGCTTTAATACAAAACAAAGATTAATTTCTTTTAATAACAAAATACGTAAAATATATTACTGATTGCGACAGAAAATTTTGGCTAAGCAACGTGTATATTCTTGCATTTTTTACACCAGCTATATATAATATTATTAGAAAGTAAAAATTATAAATTTTGTATCGTAATTATTAATATTTATTTAATATACGATATTTTTTTTTCTAAATAACATAAAGTGAATTTATTCATGAAATATTTTTGAAAATTTTGAAAGTTCAAATTAAAATTATTTATTACGTTGACCTATTCGTATGTATATAATGAATGCTTCTAAAACATTATAGAAAAGTACCAAAAAGTTTTTTCGCTTGAACTATGATTAGCCAAGAAATAAGTCGGTATTAGGTATTATCCATGGCAAAGTAATGATTTCATGAGTTATATTTTTAACCAACTTCCAAAAAGGAGGACGTTATCAATTCGATGCAAAGCAAATCTAATATATTTCGATACGTAAAATACATATTTACCTATTAGATATTCATATCTTAAAATATTGTCGGTTGGCACCGACTTCGAAGATATCTGATTAGGTATCTATTCTAAATGACACCCCCGTTTAGTTATTTTTTACATTTTATTGCCTGGTAGTCGGTTTTTATTATTTTTTTAATAAGTTTTTATTTGACTGAAAATAACAATTATTCACCTCGGTCTAAATATTGACAAAGTAAAATATTCGCATCCGCACTTGCGCGATCTAATCATCGACAATCAACACGGTATCTGTACATCTTTTGTTAATAAATCAATCAAAAACAATACGCTCAATGACAAAGCTTTGTACGAAATGTTTATTGCTTATTTCCGAAATATGACCCTTAGGAATGACTCTATCTATACAAGTGCCATATTTTTACCGACAATGGAAATGATTTTTTTAATATGGTGGTGGTCTTACGTAGAAACGGTCAACCTTGTGATTCTTTCTTTTGGGCTGTTGCTATTTTCTATAGTTTCAAATTATGTCATCCATCCTCGCTTTTTAAAAAAAGTCGCAACTTTAAACTTTTCCGTATTGAATTATATATAACTGTAACTGTATACACGACTGAAAGCAGAAAACGTCATGAGAAGTGCCTAAGCCACTTACACAAAGGCGAGGTCGCTTAGAAATAACAATTGTTTTTTTGTTTAATAAACATCTATTTCATAATTTTTGAAATAAATGCTGATTATAACGATTTACACTTTATATACGTTATTAAGAAACTCTATCTAGATTTCACTGTTTATTTCATATAATATTCGGGTTCGTCCCTAGATTGCTTCCCCATACAAACTTTCATCCCCTTAAAAGATGATTTCCGGGATAAAAACCATCCTATGTCCTTCCCAGGGTCATAAAATATCTTCTTACCAAATGTCATCTAAATCGGTTCTGTAGATCTAGAGATTACCCCCCTACAACGTCACAAACTCTTAAACTTTACCTCTTTATAATATGAATATAGATAATACTGTTAAACTTTAGTGTTAGTACTGAAAGATGAACTAATCATAAAATATGCCTTTCGTTTAGGGACGTATGAAAAAATTAAGAGAAAGCACTGATAATCATTTTTAAAGTACTCTCAAATGTGTATCACTGCTTCTGTACTCCATCTTGATATAATATGAGACCATGATATAATATGACAATATGACAGGTTTACAAAATAATCGCAAAAAGAGATCCAAAGTAATTACTTATCTAGGTCATTCACATAGTTAAAAGTTAGTTATAAAATAATAAATGTGTTATTTTATAGGTTATTAAATGCTATAGTGCTATAAAAATAATCCGTATGATTTCATTCTCCGAGTTGAAGTGTATTCGGTGTTTTTTTCTTACTCAGGTGCTAATCAAACAATGAGTCTAGTTTGTCTCGGATTGTTGTAAAATTACTCAGATTCATGCTTGTGATTAACAAATGTTTGTCGTTGAACAAACTAGTTCTAAGAGATAAAATTATTTAGGAAATTAAATAGCATTCTTGAAAAGGAAGTTGTATTTGACGCGAGCTAAAATCGAGCAATACGTATTTATAGATTTTCATATTACTTTTTTAAATTTGGTGCGTTTTTACGGTTAGTTTAGAATCGGTGGACTATATATTTTATATATATATATATATATATGTATTGAGTTGTTGTAGGTTGTATAATACAACTTGTATTATAATGTGTTTTCCCATAGGAATGAAATTGAGAAATATTTTCTTTTTGGTTTTGCTATCATGATTACAATTTTTAAAAGAATATTTGTTGTGAAGCATTGATTTAAAATATCAAATATTTGTGTAAATCTAAGAAAGTATTAATATTTTTTTCATAGCATTTACGTACACATCTGTTTACTATTTACGTATAGTGTTATTGTAATTCAGTAACATGTCTAGGAAATCTATATTTCTCTATGATTGTATTTCAAACTGTATTACCATGTTATACTTAAACATAAAATATAAAACAATATTGCGGTATGCAGGAAGTGAATCATTTATAATTGCAAATATAAAACAATCTGTACTGCATTTTGTTCTACACAATAAATGTTATCATGTATGCGATAAATTAAGATTTGGTGTATAGCCTATAAACATTACTAGGTACTAAGCCACACTTCGCTGGTGTGCCCTTGAGTATCCTAACAATAGTCTATGTGTTACTACAGATGATAATCTGTCTGCTCCTAGTACTTCTCTAACAGCAGAGTAGACCGAGGGAGCAACACCTTGGTTATGTAGTCTGCTTCGGCAGGCCTGCCGTCGGGGCATTGTAGTTGTGTCGCTTACGCAAGCGATCCTGCGACACTCCATATGATGCAGGAGGTTACATTGGATTTTAGTGGGTAGTACTGGCTTTTCTAGCCAGTGAGTCCCACATAACCTTCTGGATACCATCAGGTGGTATGCGTAAATGCATTTCCCAACATTAAAAAAAGGTCTTAGTCTGTCTGTGTACCAAATTTCATCCAAATCTGCCGTCTTAACGCGAAAGAGTAGCAAACAAACACACTAGAATTTATGAACTGTGCTGGGAGACAGTTCGTCAAAAGCTTTATCGAACATGTAGGTACTAATTGGTTACAGAATGTTTGGTAGAGCCATAATTGCAAATGATTTCATTTTAAGTTTCAATTAAAGCTATGCGTCTTATACGTATATTTCTTGTAATATTAACAATTATTGCAACTATATATTTTATGGATTATGATAAGTTTAGTATTACTTACATGGATATTATATAGGAATATTATATAATTTCACATTAAATGAAATGTTTAGTGTTAAGTAACAAACATAATTGTGTTTTCAATATATGTATACATTTTTGTGCACAATGTGTGCATAAAATATAAATATTATATATATAATATATATATATATATATATATATATATATATATATATATATATATATATATATTAACAAAATTAATGATGCCAAAACATCTTTGGGCGAACGGGCGACGTTTCGCCAATTATTGTTAAAATACAAAGGTGTTTACGTAAAAAGAATTGGATAATATCCAATCTCATTATATGTGAGTTATGAATACACATAAGTCTGCCACAAGTCCACTACGTTGAGATGCCGGTGATGTTGTTAGGATGTGCGTGCGTAAACTCGCGCCTCATCAAGCGCTTGTTCTAAATGAGAGAAACCAAAGCTAAGCTTTACATGCCAGAACAGCTGATTATGAACAAAATTAGAGCTCATGCTTGTTCCACGCAATCTAACCTGTAAATAATAG